AGCGGTGGTTCATTCCGCTCTTCAAGTTGGCGTCTAGAAAGAAGCTTTGCAAGAGACGCAACACTAATGTCTGGCACGAGCAAGACAAAGAGGCCAAAGAGCGATGGGACGGAAGAAGAATGTCCTGTCGGAGTCAGAAGAGGACAAAGAGGAGGAATGCGATGGTTCGGGAGGAGGTGGCTTGACAGATCCTATGGTTCTAGCTGGGCAAGCTGACCCATTGCGCCGGTGCACACGGCCGACCGCAGGAAGAAGAAGAAGAAGACTGCTTTGGACTCAGCCGTAGATGGGGTCGCTTGGATATGGCGATTCAACAAGTTCAGGGGCTGGGAAGAGATCAGCTATAGCTCTGAAAGCTCTCACTCACAGCCCGCAAGAGATTCACCAGATGATGATCGAATCCAAGATGTTGGAAGTCTTGATGGGTCGAGTGGTCCAAACTATTGCCTGCGGACACAGACTGGTTGCGATCGCTTGCCCTCAGTCGCAGAACGTCGTCTTTCGGTGGCCGTTCGGTACGAAATACGAGAGAGGCGTTTCTTTGCATGAGGTTAGCTCATCACCGCGGTTGCTGCCATGAGAGAAACTAGAGCCTTGCAATGTTTTGGAGCTGGAGTCAAAAGTTTTTAGCGCAGCCTTGACGCGCAGCAGTTGGACGAGATGCTTCCACGCTTTTTAGCAGCGCTTTGGTGTCCTATGGGCATCACGAGTTCAAATCTGGAGGAATACTGAGCAGCTTCAGGCATTTGATTCTCAGCTGTCAGCGTTGGGTACCTGCTTGCCGTGTTCACACGGCTCCGCGCTGGGATCTTGTCAGCAAGTGGGAAAGAGTTTAGCCGGCGACGCACCATGTTCCGATACCGGAAAGACTTGTACGAGCCTTAGTCTCTGTGGCTTGGCAGCTAAAGTGGTTTGGTTGGGTAGGAGTCACCCTATTAGCTTTTACGGGGCAGGTAGAGTTGGTGAAGTTTTGTGCTGCGAGCGTCGTGACCTGGTATTTGCTGGTGACCTCCTTGATCCTTTGCGCGCAGGTGTGTATTTGCAGCTGCGCTCCTTGAAAGCTTTGGGAAAGCAGTCTGCGAAAACCCAGCATGCACATTCGTCATCCTCACGCAGTCCGTATCCTCGCCAACATATATGAACACTATCCTGCCGAAGCTAGTTTTTATGGTGGTTCTCATTCCCTTTGCAGAAGGAGATGGGATGTTTTGTTGGAGCTCTGTGGACTGCCTTCAAATTTGCACTTCAGCCCTGGAGGCCTCAGGTGAGGCGCTGCTGTGACCCAAATTCAGGACGGCAGACGACTCTAGAATCGCACCTGCAAGAGACGGCAGCATCCACCGTTCACAAAGCTTGACAAACGTGTCAGACAGAGGCTGGTGTTTTTTGGAGCTGTTTACGAGGCTCTTGCTTAAGCGCTCCTAACGGGACCTTTTGGGATGTGACAGTTGCTGGACAACCGCCTAGCTGGCCGGTCACACTGCACCCGGCTCGCCCTAGCCAGATGTGGATGGAGCCTTTCGTTTTTGCAAGGACGGAGAGAAACCTGCGGCCGCCAGAAGAGTTTTAGAACCACACTTTGACACACCGACACACATATAAATATATATATATGATAGAATGCCAGGGTATACGCCTTGGTGGGGATTACTCGAAGTAGTTTTGCCGATCAATGCAAAGCCTCAGGAAGGGCGAGTGCTACACACTCACTGTCGGCTATTGCATGGACAAGCGCATCGGGAACTCCGAGGCTCATTCTTCGACAGACGATTGGGTGTATACACCGATGGAAAGGACGGTGCGGTCTAAGTTGTTCTGAACAGTCTCGGGTCGAAGTCTATCTTTTAGGGTCTCCATCGCGATGAGGGGAGATGGTTGAGGCTCGAGGTTTTGTGTTGTCGGGATCGACTGTTTCCGCTTGATGGAGATTCCTGCCTACGGTGGTGTAAGAGATGTTGCCCGTAGCGAGCAGCGTTATATGCATCGTAAAAATGTTTTTGGGTACCTGCCAGGTACCTGCTGACATTCTTCCCTGTTGAAGTTCATGGAAAGTCATGGGCACGGCTGATTCAGCTGTAATTTACACACTTCAATTGGTAGACGAAAGGTAGAAGCCTGTAGCAGCAGACCAAAAGACCAGCAAACAGCAGCAGACCAGCAACCAAACAATCCATTGATCCTGAAAAATGATTTCGCATATGTTGTTCAATCAAGGTGCCCTTCCGTTATTTTTCCATCCTTCACAGTTTTGCGTTACGCAGAAGATATCTATTTTGGTGACAGAACTTGACCGAAGAGAGTTCTTCGTAGGATTTTGTTCACTTTGCTACCCTTTCTTCCAAAGCTTAGCAGCCACTCCCCAAAGCTCCAGGGCGTCGGCGGCGTCTTTGGGATCGTCAAAGCCGTGTCCTCATGTGAGAACACACGACTTCAGATTCTTTGGTTTGCAAGATTTAAATTTTTCAAGTTGCCAACATGCGCTTCAAACACGAGTGGGCCAAAGGGCTAGCGTGGAACTTGTCAAGGTTTGTCACTGATTTCTGATTGCCTTTGGTTGCGTTTGTTTTGTTTTCTCTGCCGTTTTGTCAGGCCGTTGGCAAGGCATTGCCCTTTCCAGAGGGCCAGAGGCGGCTGGGCTACAATGGCCTGGCAATGGTTTGATCGTCTCGCTGCTGTTTCCAGTAAGAACCCAGATGAATCAAGACACCCTTGGATTAGGTTGGAGGCCATTGCTATTAGGTTGGAGGCCATCGCTAGTAGGTCGGAGGTCATCGCTGTTAGGATCAAGACGATAACGAGCAAGGACATAGTGTGCCCCGCTCAGAAATCAATTGTAGGGGACGGAAGGGAGAAGTTCCAGACTGAAGGAATCCAGAGGCGCAAAAAGCGGCAGTGTCGCAGAACGAAGAATGGAAGCAGCCGCGTGCGCTCGGTGAAGAATTCCTGACCGGTCTTTGGCATAGATGAATGTTAATTAACAGTATTGTTCAGTCTATTGTATTTATATATATATATGTATATACTGTAGAAAAAGATCTATTATCTATTTGACTTCTGCTTGTCATGCAACTACTATTTTTCTTTGTCGCTGGAATCACCGGTTTGGTCTGAGGCTCTATACGCCCTCCCTGCGCTACGAGGCATTTGAGCGCGCGGCCAAAGCAGCAGAAGCTTAGTACAGGCAAAAAGGCAATCGGACAAAGAAAATGCCAACCATCCCATCCCATACCATTCCAACCCTCCAACATCGTCAATTCAACAAGAAAAGGTCAAAGTTGACCGACATTTGAAGGATGTTGGGATTCTGACAAGGATTCGCATTTCTCCAAGCAGCATTCTGACTCAATTTGGACGACCTGTTTGTTCTTTTAGAGTCTACGCCATCCCTCGAACATGCTCAAAATTTGTAGAACCATCACAACTACTGAAACTGTGATGACATTGGTTCGTTTGGTTTGTGTGGTTTGTTGAACAGCGGCTGTCCCAAAGTCCCAAAGAGTTTTGCAAGCTTATCAAGCTAGGCCCAGGCTCCATCCCTCAAGACATCGATCCGATAAGTGCAAGTGCAACTAGCTTCTTGTTCCTAGTAGTAAGGCCAGGAGCCCCGTTCGTAGCGTCCTTGCTCCTAGTAGCGATGCCCTTTGCTCCTAGTAGCTTCTTGTTACTAGTAGCAAGTGCATCCCTTTGCCATCGACATGCACCTACAGCTTCATTATCAATCTGCGCGGCATCAGATATCTTGACCTTTTGATCCATTTTCATGCTATTCCTGTCGGTTCATCGACATGTCCAATTGTTTCCATGGACAAATGTTTCAACCTACCCATCAGGTCACCTTCACAACATGAATAAGAATCTCTATATATACATATATCCATTTCTTCTTCCCAATCACCTGTCGCTGTCTTGAAATACAAATCAGATACCTGAAACTCGTTCTGCTTATGTACATGTAGCTTCCTGAACGAGCCACAAGAGGAAGAGGTTCAAGATGGTTCTCCTTCTTTCATATGTCTTCTCCCTTCAAGCCTTGTCCTCCTTCAAAGGGGTGTCTTCAGTGATCTCAAACGTTGCATTCTTTACAGAAGGCCTTTGAGATGTACTTATTCAGAGCAGTATTTCCCTTCCAAGAGATGCACGTGGGCAGATACTTGCAAGAAGATTGTTGCCTCAATGTTTAGAAAAGAGATGCGGCTTCCCCCAATTGTCCTTAGCTTCTTGGCACTTGCACTCGAACTTGGAAGTTCGTTGTGGAAAATGCAGGGGCTCACTACGCCAAAACATACGACACAAAATGTCCTTTCTACCTTTATCCGGCGTGGCGTCGAGGAAAGCTTGGGTTTCGGCCCCAACGCCCGTTAGCCTGAGAAGTGGGGCTTCGGTGCGGGAAGGCCGAGGAGTTAGTGTCAAACTCTGAGGCATTCAGTGCACATGTGGACTTGACCCAACGGGGCACAGTCCACGAGTACAGAAATTTTCGAGATTCTGCGTCCTGTGAAGACAGCGATCGTTGCGTTATGGCAACTCAACTTTTTGTAAATTCCTACTTTCGAGCAGCTAACGAATTGGCTTGCTCATGCTTGCTCTTCTAATGGAGAGGGTAGTGGAAGAGTGAAGTGAGGTGAGAAGAAGACGGAAGGGCCTACTTTTTAGCCCGGGTGGTAGGCCGCTAGTAGCTAGGTAGCTAGTAGCTTACTTCAGCTACTACCTACTGGACGCAGGATAGCCCGCGCTAGTGATTTGGTTCCTAGATTTTTAGGGAAACTTAACTTGAAGAAGACGGAAGGGTTCCCATGTACCAAGACAGCTATTTGTTGCAGAAGAGCACCTGTAAGCCTAGAGGCACCCAGGAGGCCATCGCTCTTAGGTTCAGGTTGGAGGCCATTGCTATTGGGAACGAAGGAAACAGATGGAAGAAAGTGGAGTAGCCGAGGAAGAAGATCCTAGGTCGCGTTTGGCATCAGAATGTCGTCGCGTCGTAAGTCCTTTGAGTCAGCCAGGTCATGGGTTGAACTCCTACACTCAGGCATCACGGAGCACCTCCATAAATGATTCAACCAGATGTTGTCCAACCTCACACATCACCTTCCTCATTCGAACTTGCTTGGAATGCTTGGTTTGGGATTGCGCTTTATGCTTGAAGATCGTGCTTCTTCTTCAAGGTATGTTTTCGGAAAAGTCGTTGAAATCATTGCAGAGTCGAGACAACATGTAAGGACAAGTTCATGTATTGTGGAGTTTTCACGGATGCTTTTCGCATGAGAGACTTCCTTGAAGAAATTGAAGATAAAGGAAAAAAAATCAAAGAAATCAACAATAGAAGGTTTCTACTAGGAGCAAGAAGCTACTAGTAGCTCCTGGCACTACTAGGAACCTGGGCATCGCTACTAGGAGCAAGGACGCTACTAGTAACAAGGAGTCTTTAGTTGAAGTGTCCTTCCTAAAAGGACATCGCTACAAGAAGCAAAAGGCATCGCTACTAGTAACAAGAAGCTACTAGTAGCTCCTGGCCTTACTACTAGGAACAAGAAACTACTAGGAGCAAGGGCATCGCTTCCCTACTTTACCTTCCTGTGTTCATCTCTGTCGTTCTCCAGTCTCGAGGCTGGCCGGTGTTCTCATTAGCTGCTTTGGCCGGTGGCCCCTAGCGGATCCGCGCTTGGCATCGATCCATTTTGCAACTACTTGATTCGGAGGCGGGTCTTGACACAGGTAGTATCAGGTAGTGTTTGGAATTGCTGATGTTGATATAATATTTGGAAAACAAACCGAGTTCGCTTCTCAGGTCGAGTCAGAGTTCCGTGATCCCCCCACCTACAGCTTAGCTGCCACACGGCTGGGCCGGCAGGAGATGAGAGTCATAGTGTGCAATCCATACATTTTCCCTTCCAACTCTGCAGTTTTGAGGTGAGTTTGATGACGGTTCTTTGGTCTCAACAGTGGTTTTTAGGGTCTTGCGCTGCAGGGAGACTCTTGGGATGTGCGGTCTAGACTTGAAGGCCCGCTCAAGCGAGCCTGTCTACCGTGATGGCTTGGAATCCAAACAGTAAGATTGACCTTTCACATCTAGAGCCACCTTACGGGGGAGTCGCCCAAGACTACGTCGCAAAAAAGTTTCCAGGCCGCTTGGTCAGCAGAGCTCAAAGATTCTGAAAGCAAGTGGGTAGGGATCAGAACAAACATATTTTATTCGCATTTTTGAGGAAACTTAACTAGGTTGGAGGCCGTCGCTCTTAGGTTGGAGGCCATTGCTACTTAGTAGGTTGGAGGCTATCGCTCCTAGGTTGGAGGCCATCGCTCTTAGGCTGGAGGCCATTTCTCTTACGTTGGAAGCCATCGCTCTTGGAGGCCATCGCTTTTAGGTTGGAGGCCATTGCTAGTAGGTTGAAGGCCATCTCTCTCAAGTTGGAGGCCATCGCTCTTAGGTTGGAGGCGTTCGCTAGT